AAAGTCCCTTCATTTCCTCTGCACTCTGATTGACCAAAGTGCGCGCACACACACACACACACACACACACACACACACACACACACACACACACACACGCACACATACTGTTCACACACACCAACCAATGCCAGCCAGTTTCCAGAGGGAGCGAGTGATTAGCATGCAAATCTGTAAAGACCTAGTTATTCTATCTACCTCCTCACCCTTCTCCCTGTCTCTCACACACACACACACACACACACACACACACTGACAAACACTATTCTAATGAGGTGATGACCAGTCTCTTGTTATAATTGCCTCAAACTATTTTTAATTTCTTTTGAGCGTATTAATCATACATAGAGTTATTTAAAATCGCATAAATTAATCTTAGATTAAACAGACCCGTCAAAGGCTTCAAACAATTAAAGAGTGAGGTAGAATTTCCCCTGGGTTTAGGCCATTTCTATTTGAGCAGTTGCAGGTGATTATCCCATTTTGATGTGGCCAGACGGTGATTAATGTAACTTTTAAATGAGCCCCCCCCCCCCCCCCCCATCTCACCTCTGTCCACGCACCTCGACAGCAGAAAGTCAAAACACCTCCAGTGACCTAAGGAGTAGTAATCCACTCTGTATTTATAACTCTCTCCTTACATGGCCCATACTTCATTTGAGTTGCAGGTATTTTAATTATTAGGTGATAATGTGCGTGTTAGGGTGTGTGCATGTGTGTATGTGTGCACCTGTTTGTGTCTCCATCAAAGCAAGACTCTTGAGGCAGCTTATGTCTGATATAATTCAGCAGGAAACGGTCTAAATGCATTTTCCCCAACCCGGGGGTCTTTTGTGTTGGGTGGTGGGGTCGTATAAGATAAACCTCATAAACGAATCAGCGAAAAAGAAGAAACGTTTCTGCTACGCTGACTTATGTTCCTCTTCTTGGGCTTTATCTAAATCTAATCTAAACCTCAGCGTTTTTCTTGCGTATTCAAGGCTCTAAAACTATTAAACTCTTAAGAATAGACGATATGAAAAAGGAACATCACTGTTAGCTTGGACTGCTCGCAGCTCATAGACATGCAACCTGCAACAAAAGAATAACAAGCACACATTGCTTGACAATATATGGCCACTCAGCCAAAAAGGGTGTGATGGGACTGGTTCCTGTTTTGTTCCAGATGTGTATGCAGAATACACATGTTGGAATCTCTTGTTGCCACCTGCTCTGTAGAGATCAGCGATCCTAAATCTCCAAAATGTCCAGTCCCTCAAACATGCTTGATATTTGCAGCAGATGAGATGTGGACAACTACAGCTGTGTATGGTACATAAATTCTGAGTGTGCCCGCTGCCTCGTTAGTGCAGGGAGTTTAATCTGCTGCTATTTTTAATTTAGGTTGTAACTAAATAAGGACAATTAAGTTTAACTCTGACGAAACAACGGCTCGACAAAGTCCATTTAATAGCTGTTCAGGAGCTTTCGATCGTATCGCATGAAAGAATGCAGTTTGAATTGTAGATTAGCTTAGAGTTCCATATTTCTGAGCACTTTATGGACATTTTTACATTTTTTGTCCAAGCTTAAAAGTTTAGATTGGTTCTTGGCTTTGGAAACAGTAGCTAACAAAACAAACTCAACACAAGGTCCATTGAGTGGCTTTCCATCAAAAGATACACCACATAATCAGTTTACTGTCATGTCTTTTATCTCTCTTGTATGCTTTTTCTAGTTCTCTGTTTTATTAATTGTGTGTGTGTGTGTGTGTGTGTGTGTGTGTGGGGGGGGGGGGGGGGGGGGGGGGGGGGGG